TAGCTGAAAGTTGAGACTCTCGCCTTTCAGCACATCTGTACTGTACAAGTCGATGATGCCATCATGTTGCGTTAAGTGTGTCTATTTCAGTAGAACTTTGACAAGTGGTGAGAAGGTGGCCAGGAGCTGGATGTTGTATTCAGTTAGCAAACGTTGTTATATATACACTCCACGCAATTTGAAACAAAGTTGTAGGTAGGGCTGCTCGATTATGGCAAAAATAATAATCACGATTATGGTGACTGAAATTGAGATCACGATTATTTAGGACGATTTTTCAATTTATGTTGATTTTATTTGTTTTTATTCAGTCATAAAACTGCTCAGGGCACAATCAGGACAAAAATAAGAAACAAGATGATCACTAAAATAACTCCTGATTCCCAGGATAAAAAGACCAATATACTTACAGCTCATAGTCTATGACCCAAGGGCTGTAGACCTTGGTTTAACTCATTTAAGTCTAACCAGTACAGACCCAAATACCAATATCTGGCAAATACTGACAGCAAGAATTATACAGTGGCATTTATAACAAATACATGCAAATAAATTGATGTTCACAAAATGTTGCGTAATACGTATTTAGTCGTGTCAAGGTGCTGCTGGAGCGTGCACTAGCACCGTGTCCTCAGAGAGATTAGTTATTATTTATCAGCGTGAGGAACTTATTTCTACCTTTTTATAAACTATGTATTTACAAGTCCATCAATTAATGTAATAATTGTCCCAACCACAGCTGCACCCCCACCCCCAACCCGGTCTCACAGCAATCAGGGCAAGCTGCTCGTGTGTTTAGCACGCCGCACATTTAGCCGTTTTAGTGGCTCAGGAGTCCGCAGGTGCGGTGTGTGTGTCACTCACTCTGGTTACTCAACAAGGAGCCGGCTCTGAGAGCCGTTTCTTTAGCGACCGACACATCACTTCATCATTCCCTTTCTAATGTCCTGAAGAACGGTCCGGAGAGCAGGCGGAGTGTTTAGCTAACCTGCAGGAAATGTCGACGATAGTTATCCAGAAAGTAGCTAAGGGTCACCAGAGATGTTTCTGAGATGTTTGCTAGGTACTTTTAAGTTAAAAAGTCAAGAAGGGGGTCTGAAAAGAAGCTAGAAATAGCGTCAAAGTCACAAAGTTGGCAACACTGTGGAGGAGCGCTTCATTTGCAACTCGGCGCAGCGCAGGCGAGAGGAGCAAATAATCGGCTTGTTTTGTTTTTTATAATCGTTCAAAACTCAGATCGTAATCGTGATTAAAATTCGATTAATTGAGCAGCCCCTAGTTGTAGGTGTAATGTTTTTTCGTGTGTGAGTGTGAGTGTGTGTGTGTGTGTGTGTGTGTGTGTGGGGGGGGGGGGGGTCACAGGGGGATCTCGCACAGGGCGTCATTTAGGCCAGCTCCGCCTCTGATCATGTTCAGCTAAACTCATGTTGCATCCTCATCTCATACATCCTCTAATCAGGATTACACTCCCTCTTGCATTCTATTTGGGCCTCACTGTTCTCCATAGCTGCTTTTTTAAAGTTTTTAAACTATTATTCCTGAACAAAGACATAACAGAACAAGGTACAACATTAAGGCCGTAGCTGCTTCCTGACTATGCGGGGGATGGGTTTGGCATAAACAGAGAACTGGTTGGCAGTCACGGTGAAAAGGCTCGCTAAAACACACACGAATGTCCCCAAATAATAAAAGACACAAAACCAGTTTAGAGCAGAACATAGACCCAAAGGTTCCCTGATCAAGCAGACGCGTGACATTACATGTTAACGCCCACTTAGAGATGGAGCAAGCTAGTGGCTAATGCTACCAGCTAGCTGCTATAAATTAGTATGTTGTGCTTCTTCAAAGATTCATAATCGTTCATGTCTGCATCTTAACCCTTTGTAGGGCCAATATCCATATTTAGACACTTCCACTTACATCATAAATGATGTTGGTGTGCCTTTTCACAAACTCTTAGAATTACGGGATTTCCCCCAAACAATCATCAGAGATCAAGTTAGTCATGGTTTGCGCCATGGCACCATTCCACCAATCAGTGCAGGGCTATAACCCACCAAATATTGGTGTGTCTGCAGAACCAGAAAAGTATTTGGTCGCTTCTCGTGTTTACGGTCAGATCTCTAAAAATAAACAGTTGTATGGTATCAAAGTTGTTTTAGTATCATTTGTAGTTTATAATACATGGTTCCTCATCAGTTATTCAGAGGGCAACAGAAGAGGATTAGTAGTACATTGAGCTGGGTTTGTTTTTGCATCATTTAGAAACAGTTGTGGTTAAAGGTTTTCATATTGAAGAATTTTCTACAACACTACGATGATAAAATACAAACAGTCATATGTTATTTATCATGATATTTATCAAATAATAACAGCTCTCGTTAAAATCACCAACGACCTACTCATTGCTGCTGATTCTGGTTTGATTCTCATTCTCCACGATCTGAGTGCGGCTTTCGACACCATTTCTCATCCCATCCTCCGCAATAGACTCTCTTCCTTAGGTATCACTCACACCCCCCTCCGCTGGTTTCACTCTTACCTTACCGGCCACACTCAGTTCATCCAGTTAAAATCCTTCTCCTCAAAAACCCTTCCCAGTCAAGTCAGGTGTGCCCCAGGGCTCTGTCCTGGGGCCACTCCTCTTCATGATCTATCTCCTCCCTCTTGGCAATATCTTCCGCAAATTTAGTATCTAGTTTCACTGTTTCGCGGATGACACCCAGCTCTACATTTCCAGTAAACCTAACTCCACTCTCCCACACTCCTCCCTTACCCTTTGCCTCTCAGAAATCAAATCTTGGTTCACCTCTAATTTCCTCAAACTCAACGGCAATAAAACTGAACTTCTTCTTGTTTGGTACCAAATCCACCATCTCCAAATCTGACAGCTTTTCTTTAGCAATTGACAGCGCCACAGTCTCCCCCTCCCCTCAGGTTAAGAGTCTGGGTGTCATCCTCGACCGCTTACTTTCTTTTTTATGCTCACATCAATAAGTAAGTAAGTAAGTAAAAGTTTATTTATATAGCGCCTTTCACAGATATATCATAACTCGGTCAGCCTATTTCCATATTCGATCCATAAACGTCTCCGCCCCTCCCTTACCCCTCACACTGCCACCATTCTTGTCCACAGTCTCGTCACCTCCCGTCTCGACTATTGCAATTCACTTCTTTTTGGTCTCCCACACAAACTCCTTCATGAACTTCAACTGGTCCAGAACTCAACAGCCCGTATTATCACCAGAACCCCTTCCACATCATCCCGGTACTTCAGCAGCTTCACTGGCTTCCAGTTAAATTCAGGTCCATCTTCAAGATTCTCCCTCCATACCTTCAAAGCCATCCACAACCTCTCTCTTCCATATATTTCTGACCTTATAAGTGTCCCCCCCGCCCCCATTTCTCAGATCATCTTACTCCTCCATCTTGCTGTTCTTCTGTCCGTCTCACCACCATGGGAGCAAAGCATTCAGCCGTCTGCTCCCGTCTCTGGAACTCACTCCCCCCAGACATCAGAAATATTGACAGTTTCACCCTCTTCAAATCCAGACTCAAGACACACCAGTTCAAATCTACCTATGACCTCTGATTTTATTTGAATTTTTTTTTTGTATGTTCTTTTTTTTCCATTGTGTTTTATTGTTGTTTTAATGCATTTTATCGAATGCATTTTCCCTGTAAAGTGACCTTGGGTGTTCTGAAAGGCCCTTTAAAATAAAATGTATTATTATGATTATTATTAATAAATATGGTTATATATTGGGGAAATAATATATATTTAATAAAAAAAAGATTTATATAATTATTAAACAGTCAAAGATATTGAAAATTGATACCGTTAAGTGCCGGTATCGATTAGTAGGTACCAGGAATTGGTACAGAATCTATTCAAATGTCAAAGGTACCCATCCCTAGTTTTAAACTAAGATTTGTCAGGAAAATGGAGGAGGACAGGTATTTCTAGGACTAACCAATCTCACCATCAGTGATGATGATGAAAAGTAGGAAGATGACTTAGAGGCATATCCTCAAATACAAAATATTTTAATAATTTATATTTGATCAGAAATAGTATCCATTGTTCAATAAACTTTTCAAAATATTCTACAGTAATTGGTTTTTATAAAAATATTCTATATTGTTCAAGAATTGTGAAATAATCTGTATTATTTAACAGTGATGTAATGTTCTAAAATTTGCTAGAATATTCTAAAGTGTCTTATAATTATCAATATTAATCAAAAATAATGTTTATTTAACTTGTTAATGTTATTTATTATTTTGGGATTTTCTTTTACCAGAACAGGGCCATCGTTCATATTTGAACACTTCATTTTCTCAGATTTTCTGCATGAAATGACAATAGGTCTATAGTCATTGAAGGCAGATGGATTAGATGTTTTAGGTACTGGAACAAGGCAGGATGTCTTCCACCACACAGGAACCTTCTCTTAGGTCAAGTTAAGGTTTTGCAGAATCCCACATAGCTGGTTTGCACCGGCCTTGAGGACTCTAGGGCTAACACCACCTGGACCTGCAGAATTGTTCTGGTCTTTCTCTAGCTGCCCTCATTACTTGACTGCTAGACACTAACAGGCAAGAGGGGGAGGGTAGGTGAGCACCAGCATCTCCTGAAGTGATTTACAGAACAAAGGCCAACGTTTACAAGTGATTAAGGATACTAGATGAAAACAACTGAGCCAATTGCTGCTCTCTGGGAGTTCTGGTGTTAAAAATCTCTGATGCTTAGTATGAGGATTGCTGTAAAGACTCTGATATGGAACTAGGATTGGGACAATATTCAGCGTAACTTGTACCAAGTTTTGTAACTGCAAACATGTTTCATCACATGTAACTTTGGATTCGTAACTTGTAACTTTGGATTCGTAACTTGTAACTTTGGATTCGTAACTTGTAACTTTAGATCCGTAACTTGTAATTCTCAATTCGTACTTGTATTCTTGTTTTGTAACAGGAACATTGTATTTTGTACATGTATTTTTTATTTTGTAAAAGCAAACATTCATTCAGAAACATGAAACTTTTGTTTTGTAACTAGCAGACTTCCAAATTGAAAAAATCTAAGTACAAGTTTCAAATCAAAACTCACAAAACACACATTTCATTCTACAGGTACAAACCTCACATCCTACAGTGTTACGGATCATTTTGTCTCGATTCTAGCGCCAGTGGGAGGAACTTGGGTGGAACCAATGAGAGCACGACTCTTAGCTACCAATCACGTTTCTCGAATTCCTGTCCAATCACTGGGAGAGGAGGGCAGGGTTTTGTCAGAGCCGTAAAGAGTTACGACACTCCAAGACTCCTATGGAATGGGGAAGTCACGTGGTTCACGTAGTGTCGAATAGTTCCAAACAGCCCCGCTGCTGCATTGACTGCAGTTCATTTCAACTATTCGGTGTTTCGGAAGGATTTTCTCCGGTAAGTTGATGAAATGTCATCATTTTGTTGCATTGTTAAGCGTCAGCTAACCGCTTCGTTGTCTCCTCACAGAACAAGGCTATCCCAGCATGCTTTGCGCGCCGGCTGTGGATTTTCAACAGGCAGAGAAAATGGGGAGAGCTATGAAGTTTTAAACGTAAGTTTGTTAAAAACTAGCCGTAGAAACCTAAAAAGCTTAAAGCGGATCAGTTTATAGACATTTTTCGTTTGTATATTTGTTCTTTAAATTACATTTTAGGCAGAAAGCAGCCAGAACGAGTTTGTATCGCAGGTCCCAGTTATTCCTGTGTGTGTGTGTGTGTGTGTGTGTGTGTGTGTGTGTGTGTGTGTGTGTGTGTGTGTGTGTGTGTGTGTGTGTGTGTGTGTGTGTAGCGAATTAAACTTGTCATTTGTTTTAAGGACAACGGAGCAAAGAAGCGTTTTTATTAAGCTTAGAGGTGAAGAGTGAAGCTGTTTACACGCAACCACAGAAGTTCTTCTGTGAAAAGTAGTAGTTTTACATTCAGGGATTTACACAGCTGACACGTTTTAATGAAGTAAAATGTTGTGTGAAGAATATAATTTTTATCTTCTCGTGTGGATAAATGTAAAAATGTGTTTACTGCCCTTTTTGTCACCTGTGATCTGATTTTCTCTGTAGGACTGCAGGTGTCCAGGGTCAGGAGAGGCTTTACCTGTCCTGGGAGAGAGGCCTTCTACTGTCATCATGTTATTGTTATTTAGCTGTTTGATATTTGAACACATTTATTAAAACAAATACTAACTGAGAACTATTTCTGGTCATTGATTTTATCACCAGTTTTATTATTGCAGATGTTTTTGAACATGTTACATGAACAGAAAATGAAAAGATGGTAAGGAGACAAGATTATTTATAATACGTTACACTTATTTACAGATCAAAACCAGTATGGACCAGTTTTGTACGGTTAAAGCAGGATTAACCTGAGTGACTCTTCCTGGATCATGTATTTAAACTGAGTGAGCGAAAGTCTTTAAACAGTGCAGCGTGGATCTGCTGCAGGAGGATCCAGACGTGGATGGAGGGCTGGAGCAGACCCGTGGCTGGACGTTTCTGGCCAGAGGAACATCATCAGGACGGTCAGCAGAGAGAGCTTTGGGACGCTTCCTCTCACTGTCCACTCCATCGTCCATCTACAGGGCCTGCTGGGCTGCTCAGACGACGGTTGTTACATCTCTGTGAAGTGACTTGCCTGTTAACAGTAGTGG